GTTTAAAACTTTCAAACTAACAAAATTTAAGATCGTAAGATTTTAAAGGTTTCCTTTAGATCCTATTCAATCATTAAGATTGCAGATTTTCTTTCTAAAATTCTCATATTTTGTACGTTCAAAATTTTAAAAATAATGCAGAATTCTACAAGATTAACATAAAATTAATATATAATTAATATATAAAGTTTTGAGCCTGTAAATATTTTATAATATTTTTAAGTAACGAAATCTAAAAAACTGTAGAAATTAAGAATTCTGACAGTTTTATTTCGACTTTACCTTTCAAAGATTCTAAATCCGATCAAGGCCTTGAGGATGGTTGATAGGAGGAAACGAAACGTTAGCATTTGTTCCCAATTAGATTCTTTTGTAAGAAATATTTCTATACTGAGATCAATTAGTTCAATAATAGTAGTTTTTTTACAAGTAAATTGTTTAAAAGTAGTAAAATGTAATTATTGCATTTTTTTATCTGCCATTGGTGTTTTTAACGAATTGCGTGTGGCGAAACCCTCTATTTGGGAGTATATTTTAGGAATGCTGAAACAGTTGTTACATATTTTACGCTATTTTCATACTTGAAAGATGAGTATGGAAACAATTTTAAGTCAAATCAAGCAAAAAAAACACCCAGTAGGTGAAAAATCGCATAATATCATCGAAAGATTTCGTAAAAATAAGACAAAAAATTGAAGAATTAGGTCGAAATTGACGATAACCTGGGCCTGATTCGGGCGTTTAAGCACATTTTTGTTTTGAAAACTCATTTATTTCGCAAGCTTTCGGCAAATATTCACATATTTTGGTCTGAAATCATTGTTTTTTTTGCCAAAAACTCTCCAAACTGAGGTGATTTTTACCACTTTTAGTTTGTTTTTGGGCCAGAAACTAACTTATTTCTACTAAAAACCCAATTATTAAGCGAAATTTCGCTAAATATGGAGAAACAATTACATTTTTCCAAAATTGATGTCATTTTTGCCTTTTTTCAAGGTTAATGATTGTTTTTGAGACAAAAATTGCGTTTTTCATCATTTTTTTCGGTGAAAAAAAATATGTCAAAATGCTAAAATCTCATACATTTCTCAAAATTTTATATAAAAATAAAGTTTGAGCAGTTTTTTAGCCTGAAACTCATTTACTTTAACAATATATCGCTCAAAGGGGCCTAAAATTCCATATTTAGGTCAAAAAGGTTTTGTTTGTCTTTTTGTGAGTGTTTAAAGACATCTTTCTTTCCTCTACAAACCCAATTATTAAGGGAAAATTTGCTCAAACTGTCCAAAAATTACATATTTAGATCAAAAATAACATTATTTTTTGTACGTTTTAGCTCGTTTTTAAGCCAAAAACTCACTTACTTTCGTAAAATTTTGATTAAAACTGTTAAAAATAACAATATTTGTTCTCACCTTTTCCCTAAAGTGCATTTTTTCTGCTAAAATTTGCCGGAAAATCAAAATTGAATCGTCAATTGCGTAATTTTTGACTGTCTTCGATTCTTAGGAATGTTTTCGAATTAAAAAGTTCAGTTTTTCCCAAGATTTTAATAAACCTGGCCAAAAAAATCATGTTTTAAGGTTAAAAATGATGTTATTTTTGCCTATTTTAAGTCTTTTAGCTCATGTTTGAGCCAAATACTCATTAATTTAGCAAAATATCAATAAAACTGGCTATGAAATTATTATTATTATTTTTATTTTTTTCGAGTGTTTTTGATATAAAAACTGTTTTTATTTCGTTCAAATAAGTTAAACAATACAAATACTATTGCTTATTGCGAGCGTTTTAACACGTTTTTGAACCTGAAACTCACTTACGTATTTTCGCAAAATTTCGACTTTTTAGACTAAAAACTATTTTTTCCCCTGAAAATGCACTTTTTATCTGCCATTGGTGTTTTTAACAAATTACGTGTGGCGAAACCCTCTAATAATAACATATATTATTTTATCCGCAAACGTATTCAGATCAAAAGTAAAGGGCAAAACTATAATTAACAAGTAAATGAACAAAATATTCAAGACGCTTTGCGTAATGAACTCATAACAATGTTTTTAAACAAACATCACGCGTAAATATCGAAATTTATGTTATGAAAAATGGTTTTATAGTGGGTTGCCATTTAAAAAAATCAAAAAAATTTGTAGAACTCAAAAACAAGAGAAAATTTTGAAAAATTTTATTTTCGATAAAACATCACATTTTTATAGTAGATACTTTATCATTCATTAATTACTTTTTCCAAAAAACGTTTGGTTCAGAAATATTCAAAAATTTTCTAAAGTTTAAGAGTTATAGATTTCGCTTTAGCTTCAAAAGTTGTAAAGATTCAAAAATTTGAATATTCATATTTACATAAAATCGCAGATATTTTTGGCGTTTAACGAAAGTTTAAAAGCTTGTAACTTTTACAAATTTCAAAACTTTCGTTAAAAATTAGAAATTTCTAAGTAGCGGAATCTAAAAATACTGTAAATTTCTATAATTTGAGCACTCCATTAAATTTCTGAAATATAAATTTGAAAATATAAAATTGTAATTTTCCAAATTAAGGGTATTTTAAAATTATTATATCTTGCCATTTAAGGATTTCAAGATTTTTTTCTATATTTTAGACTCAGAAAATTTTGGAGATAATATAAATTAAAGTAATATAAAAAGTGTGATCGTATTTTAAAAACAACATTTTGTTTTGTTTTTGAATTATAATGAAACATTTTTATAGTACTTTATCACTCCTCAATTAGTTTTTCTTTGCTTCCATACTTTTTATTCACTTGGTATGTATAACAACATTATTAATACCTATAAGAGAAAAATATTTATTTAATAGTAAGAATAAATAATTATAAAATATAAACATTTGTTACAAATTTTTTTAATTACTCTTTGTTTAGCTTATATTTTTCATTTCAGCAAAATGAACCATGCATAGATTACTTCTACTCCCTGAAAAACGTATCGTTTTGCGCTTTTCACCCCCGAGACCATCGCTATTTAGGATTCATAACAAAACACCCAACTTTTCAACGGTTTGCATGTCATGTCTTTCGAGGAACTGATTCGACCAGGCCTGTGGCTGAAGCAGTAGGGTAATCCAGTCTTAAAAATTGCTATTTTTTTAAACAGAATATTAATTTTTTTATGTTTAGGCGTGCCTTCCAAAGGTTCTACCAGAAGTTTATTGAGACTGCTTATCCCGTTGAAGATATCTATATTGAATAATTCCTGTAGTGCAATAACAGTGTAAATACTACATACATTTAACGCTGTGTCGTCAATAAAACATAATAATTTTATGCAGTTTTTCTACATCGCAAAAGCAATAAAAAAAATATTACGTAATCCAAGTTGTTCTTGCGTAATTTTTATATACAGAGCGTTTGTTTTTGTTTTTTTTTTCAATTATAATTCTTCCAATTTTGAAAAAAAATCGTAAAACCAACATTACAAATGTCTTGTCATCTTTAGAACGATTTTATTAATGACATAAGTCCGGAAAAGTACTACTTTACGGACTATTTCGTTCGTTTTAGGGACAATCTCAGTCTCAGTCTCTAATTGTCATTTTTTACTTCATTTTAAATATGTTCCAAAGTTTTTTTCGCAAAAGGTTCCTATTTCTTACTCATCTTAGTTATTACATTTTATTACAGATGACGCTTTTAGTTATTTAATAAAATCATATTCACTACCAATTATTCTGCTTTACAATTAATGCTCTTTTCCAAAGATTATAATTTCAAAAAATTATTTTCAAAAAAGTGTATTGCAAAACAGTACAGTTTTTTTCACAAAAAATCTGGTATAAAAGGTGTTTTTTAAACCTTTCTTGTTCTTTTTTTTCCTTTACAGT